GGGGGGGGAGGAGCTACAAAGGCAAGAAGTGACTGGCTTACAAGCTTTCAATAGGGAGCCTAGTTCCAGAGAGTGCAGAGAAAGGTAGAATTCTCCACTGAGTGTTTTCCAATCTGTCTGGATGGGCTGATGAAAGGAGATGGGGACAGGACTCTTGTGGTACAATAGTAAATGACTGCTATCAGGACTGACTAAGTATTGGAAAGGTAAAAATAGACGTTTTATAACAAAAAGGAGGGGAGTGGTTGCTTTTGCAGTCCAGGAGAGGAAGTCCCTGGGACCATCAAGAGAGAAAAGCCCAGTGCAGGACCCTATCCAGAGAAGCAGTGACACCAGAGATGGAGGCAGAGACGATGACGTGGAGAGATGGAGCGGCTGGGGACTCTGGACTCAGGGGGGGGAAAGGGCTGTGAGCTGATGGCAGGGGAGGACAGGTTTGCAGGGTGTACCCTTTGCTTGTTTGATGATGCATGGAAGAGACTGTAATCATTGCAATGAAACGAAGTAAGATAGGATGAATGTAAAGCTAATGTTCTCCCATGTAAACTATCACATAATTCACAATAAAAACTTAAAAAAAAATGATTGGACAAGAATACAAAGATATAAGTTCTTCACATTGTTGTACACAAAAGGAAAATTAATAAAAACACCTAATTGTCAATAAAGCAAAAATTTAAAAAACAAAAACTTACAGCCTTGGAAACCCTATGGGACAGTTTGGTTCTGTCCTAGAGAGTGACTATGAGTCTGAATCAACTCTACAGGTTTGTTTTTTGGTTCAGGTACCATTCATAATGCACAGGATTACTGGAGCCTGTGAGGCTTACAGCAGTTAGTGGACCCTATTGGGGAGAATCAAGAAAGGTTTTAGGAACATTCCCTGAATTAAATTCTGAAGGATGAGCAAGACTTCTCCAGAGAGATAAAGAAGGAAATGACAATCTCCACAGAGAGAACTGCACAGAAAGAAATCTGAGGGTTTCGACTGCTGTAGAGACTTAAGTCTAAGGAACCCTACACAGGGTCAATCTGAGTCAGAGTCAATTGGACGGCATTTAACAAGTGAAACTGCATGGCTAGTGCAAACATTTGTTGTCAAGTGCTGTCCAGTTGGTTTCAATTTACAGCAACCCTGCCCTGTATGGGGTTTCTGAAAAGCAGCTGGTGGGTTTGAACTGCCCACCTTGCGGTTAGCAGTCCAGTGCTTATTCTAATGCGCCACACCAGGAGCATAAGGAGCCATGAAACAGATGGATGCGTTGGGGCATAGTATTTCTGTGCAGTTGGAACACAAAGTATTCTGTGGTAGCAGTGGGGCAGATGAGATTGGAAAGGCAAATACGAGCAAATTTAAAAATGTTCCACAAAGAATATGTAGTTGATCCTACAAAGAAAGGAAGTCAATGCAAATTCTTAATCAGGGTAATGTGAATGTTTTACACTTTAGGAAGTATCGTGGTTTGGAACTCTGCTGGTCTGGTGCAGTGGGATAAAGCACTGGTTTGCATGATCGGTTACAAGGTCGGCGGTTCAAACTCACCATCCGCTCCTTTGAAACTCTGTACAGGGTCGCTATGAGTCAGAACCGACTTAACAAGCACGAAACAACAACTCTCAAGGAAGAGTTGTCCCTGGCCTGGAGTCCTCACCTGCCCTACTCTTGGGTTCACTGACAACTTATTCCTAGTAGTGGTACCCCGCTCCCTGTGCTCCCCAACAGTTCAACAGCAAGTGGCCACCCTCAAAGTGATCTGAGCATCCTTCCGGAGGCTGACAGATTTGGGCTTCGGGACTGGGCTCTTCCCCTACTTGGGTGACCACCAAACGGTCGAGGTTTCCTTCTCTGAAGGAGGAGAGGGACCGGCTCCTAGCCTTCCCAGCCCACAGGAGTCTGCGCTTGACGAGGGCAGGGACCCCGGCAGCCGTGTGGAGAGGTGGTGTGGGGCGGCCCCCAGCGCCTTTAGTAACCTGGGCGCGCGCCGCCGGCTTCGCCCAGAGACTCGAGCCGGCGGGCAATCGGGGTAAGCCGGGTCGCGGGCTGGTAATGCGGCTCACCGATAGAAAGCAGAGTCCCCGAGCGGATTCCAATTCGCGGTGTAACAGTCCATGGCTGCCGCTGGAGTAAACTGGGAAGGGATACCCGGACGTTCGCGTATGGCCGACTCCGAGCGGGCATTTCCGCTTCCGCCCGGCCAATTCACTTGTGGAGGTTGCCGCCGCCGCCATCACTAGTGTGGGCAGCCGCTCTCAGCTGTCGCCGCGCCCCCTGTTCGCACTCCCAGCTTCTAGCTCGCCTGGGTGGGTCTGGCTAAGGCTCCTTCCCGCCCGGCGGTAACCGTCCCTGTGTTTTCCCTGTCCCATCGGAAGTTGGGGATTGCGCAGGGAGGGACATACGTGACCGGAAGTGGGAGTTGTGTGCTCATTTCGAGGACCGGAGCGCCATTGGGCAGCCGCGACGTCGAAGGCTGTGCAGGTGCTGCGTGGGTCAAGGGTTTTGCCTAACCGACTGGCCTTCCGTGGTGCAGAAACATGAGGCTTAACCAGGATCCCGCAACAGGCGAGGCCCAAGGCGTGCGGGCCTGCCCGGGTCACTAGTGATGGGCGCGGAGATGAGGGATTCATTAATTGACACTTAAGGGCGATACTACGTGGGAAGCACGTCTTTACTCGGAAGGCGCGCACCGGGCGACCTCCTGTCTCTGTGCCAACCGTGACTAAGGTCGACTTCATTATGGGCACCACTTTGCTTTTGCCGCCTCCGCTCTGTAGCTCTGGGCAGCCAGGGAGGGTCGCGTGCCTGTCTCCTTTATCCAGAACGGGCCCTGGGGCCTCCTTATCCTGAATCCAACTCTCAGGCGGCATAGTGGCTTTCCCCAGCAGCCTGTTGTTGTCAGCTGTGTCATGGAAAACGAGCCTTGCCACCGCTGCCAGTCACCATAGTCCACTTACAGGCTTCAGAAGTCTGAAGTCCAGCAGCTGAACACAAGTTCTTTGTCCTCTTGGGGGAACTTTAGGATTACCCTTTCCAGTCATGCACTTTTCCATCTCCATATCTCAGTTTCTCTCCACCCTCTAGTTTGCACTGGTTTAATGGACTTTTAGCATAGTGGTTACGAATCAGGCTGCTAATCTCACGGTCAGCAGTTCAAAACTACCAGCTGTTCCGCGGGAGAAAGATGAGGCTTTTTGCTCTCGTAAGGATTTACAGCCTCCGAAACCTTGTACAGGGTCAGTTATGAGTCGGAACTGACTCCACAGCACATAACTACAACCAACAGACTTTTGATTCCATTCTGGCCCTCCTCACTGTCTACAGGTATCCTGATGGATGGAGCTTGTGTCCTCTTTAGACCCCGTTTTTGCTCTGTATTTATCTCCCACATAGTCAATGCCCCATAATTCCCTTCCAGGAAGCGTTGAGTTGTGTTGTCTGTCTCCTGGTGAATTGGCTAACTTCTGTCAGGTGATCTTGGGGGAGAGCTGGGGCAGAGTTAGAAGAAACAATGACAGTGCAGGTCTTTTTAAACCCACCTTTTCTCCTACCTCTGTATGCACACTACATAGAGATGGGATTAGGTAGCCCCGGTCCTGAAAGAATGGGAGGCCTGGACTTGGAGGGGCTGCAGTAGTAGGGTGGGTGGTCCCTGCCTTGCTGCAATCCAGCAGCCTCTGTTTAAGGACTTGCTGCTCCTGCTCCAGAAAGACTCACTGCTCGCCACAGCTCAGCTGAAAGCCTATGTGAGGGAAGTTTGGTAGCTCTGCCCATGGAGCAGGATCCTCCTCCCTATCATGGCTGTGACCGGGTCACATGGGGCAGGGAGAGCTGAACTTTGAACAGGACCAGCTGGGGGCTGGGGGCCAGCAGGGTGAGCTGCACAATGGAACACGGTACCATGAAGTCCACGAGTTCTGCTCAGATTCTGGCCACCACCTTGTCACTTCTACTTCCTCACCCATGTTTACTCTGAGGACCTGGAGGATGTCCTGGAGGAGCTGACATATGGGCCTACCCTGGTTCTGGTGATCATCAACTTGTGCCTCTGGGATCTCTCCAGGTTGCAGGGGCAGGATAGGTGGGAAATACCTGTGGATGGTGGGAAGGTGGATATGTGGCACCAAAGCTGCTCACCCCTATTATTTTGCCCACCCTGTATGCTGTCCAGCAGGTATGACCGCTGCTCCATGGAGAGCTATCAAGAGAGTCTGGATCAGGTGTTCGTGCGCCTAGACCAGATATTGCCTCCTGGTATGGAACATGGCAATGCCTTTGGGGGAGCATGGCACTGGGGTCTTCCTTCTGCTGGAGGCAAGTGACCAGAGACTTGGAAAGGGACTGCTGTCTAATAGGTAGGGGACCCTCTTTCTCAACCCTGCTACATTCTGCACTTAGACGGCTCACTTGCTCATTCAGCTCCAGCCCTAGATGGGGTTTGTGAGGTGAGATGTAGTTAAAGGGAACTTCTATAGTGCCACATTGGCTGGGGACCACTGCTTCGATGTTCTGGACCTCCGCTTTCATTGTCAGCGTGCAGTAAGGCATCATCAACTGGACAGTATCCACTGGGACCAGCATGCCCACTGCCACCTCTCACACCTGCTTCTAACGCACATGGCTGATACATGGGGTGTGGATCTGCCCAGGCAGTACCATTCCCCTGGTAAGCCCTGTCACAGTAGGGAGGGTAGTACTGTAGAGAAGGCCCTGAGAGTACAGGACTCAAAACCGATCAGGCAGAGGTCCTGAGATACTCTCACAGAGAGTGAGGGACCTTTAAATAACTATTGTGGCCCTTGGGTGCTGTTTCCACAACTCCTAGGGAAGGTTAGCTCCAGTCCAAGTTCTGTTCTCTACGATCCAGCCTTATAGTCATCTCTGTGTACGAGGTGTGGACACACTAGGTGATCAAAGAACCATGCCTTGTGACGGATGAGCAGGAAAGCTGGACATGGGTGTTGGGGTGGCAAGACAGAAATGGAGGAAGGTAATCCAGGCAGTTTGTGGCAGAAATAAGGAAATCCCTCATCTGTTAGGGAAGGAGGCAGTGAGAGTGAGGCAGAAGGTAGTCAGCTGGAAGGCTGTTGAGAAGAAAGGTACCATGATGTAAGCTATGGGTGCTTTGGGTCAGTCAGTCTGAAAGGGGGCAAGCTGAATGGATGCATTCCACAGAGTCCTTGGTTCAGCTTCAGGGTCCCAGTATAGGTAATGTCAACTTGGTGCAGCTCTCTTCTGGTCCCACATCTGGGTCACTGAGGGAGGCCTCTGAGACTAGAATTCTGGGCTCTACCTATCTCATACATACACTTGTTCACTCTGAGGTGCTGCTGCCCCCCATACCTCAGTTGTAATGCTTTTTGTTGTAGAAAAACCTCTGTCTTTGCTAGCCTCAGTATTTGCATGCTCACAAAGGGGACAGTGTGACTGATTATTTCCATGTCTGCTCCTCCCTAGATAGTGTCTTCACAGAACAAGGTTCCTACCTCAGTTGTTGATCTGCTCACCCCCATGCCTAGCATAGTTTCTCTGTATATAGTACCTAAAGGATAAGGAGATGGTGTGGAGGTCATGGAGGCCAGGATTTGGCAGCCGAGAATAGAAGCCATGAAGAAGTGGATTAGGACTTTGATTATGTTATGACCCTTGTCCTTGCTTTTTACATGAGAGAACTGATCCCTGGCAAAGGGAAGAGATATTCTGAATGATGTAAGGCTAGTGTATGATGGCTCAGGTCTTCTAAATTCCATTTGGAACTGAAGTTTTGAGCTGCAGAAATGGATGTCAAAAGAAAAAGTTGATTTCAGGTGGGAGTGTGAGTTGGTGAGTTTGGTTAGTGCCAGTCTTTCTGAGGTGCTGTGGAAATCCAGTTTTGGAGCTAGACTTGGCGTCTCCAGCATCCCACAGAGTGATTGAAGCTTAAGGCTCCAGTGTGGAGGAGCAAGAAGAGTAGTCATATTTAGGAGTTGGAAGGGAAGAAAGACTAATATAGGAGGTAAAGGGGAAATGTGACCATATTGCATGCCAGTTGGGAATAAAAATTTAGGGTTCTTTTCCCCATATGTGGCTATATTTAGTAGCAAGTGTTGAGGAAGTAGAAAAGGGTTAAAAGAGGCAGTAATGGAATGAAAGTCAGGCAGAGTGCACTTTGTGGAAGTTTGGAAGGAAAGGGGGACATTGACTGGTGGGAGAAAGGAATGAGATGATCTTATTTTTTATGAAAGTAGGCACAGAGCCCTGGCAGGAGTTGAGAAAGAAAGAAAACGAGAAACAAGAAACTGGGAAACAGCAGGCACTAGAGGGAAGCATGAGGTCAGAACAAAAATAGATCCAATGACCTTTCTGAGAGGCTTGGCCTGAAATGAGAGGAAAATGGTAGAAAGTAGAGGGTGCTCCCACCAGTGGCCCTGTTCTCTGAGAGGTTTGGAAGTGTGATGACCAGAGTCCAGGGCAGCCTGGATTCCCAGACTTACCTAAAACAACCATCCTGTTCATAGATCCATGGATTGAGGACTGGCCAGAGACAGATCATCCATTCTAGAGAATCCATAGGCAGTCCCCAGACCTGGGGGAGCAACTTTCTTCTCCCTTGCCTCTTCCCATACCATTTTTCCCACTTCCTCAGCCTTCACCACGTCCCTTGCTCCCACCACTGCTCCAGGATGCCCCCCTTTTCCCAGGCCACCCCTTCCTACCCCATGAATTCTTCGATTATATACCATTGGAGGACTTCTCAATGCCACCCCACTTAGGCAGGTGTTCCCTCAGCCTCTCTTCATGCCTCTCTTAACCTTCCCTTGCCCTTCCTCCTTTGTCCAGGTAGGTTGAGAGTTGTGTCATCCCTGGTGCCCCCAGGATTAGGTTTGGTCATAGCAGTCTCCTGAATCTGGAACAGCATCTGTAGACTCATGAATCTGCTCACTGATCCTCAGTATCTTGGTCTGGAGTAGGAGTCGTATCCTCACTGTGCTTTAGCTCAGGGAAACTGCCGAGAAGCTCCTCTGATAATAACTGGTTCTTTTGTAGGATGTGGCCCTGGAATGAACTTTGTTCCTGGTCCTTTGTTACCTTGAGTCCCCAGCCCTATTCACCATGGTCAGCAATGGGGCCCGGTTGTCCACCGGAGAATACCACACTCTGTTCCCAGTAGTCCCTATCCTGTGCTAAAGATGAGGGGACCCTGCAGGCAGCGACTCAGACGCTCACATATAAACTGACGGCCAGCCTCTGGCTCATTCAGGAACATAGCCTGGGTCAACAGGAACCTGGGCTGGATTTGACAAATGTTACTGTAGGACCTACCTGCCACCCCAGATACTGGGCTAGGATGTCTGCTATGCCCAGTGTTCTTGTCCATTGTTGCCACCAATAAAGCATGGAAAAACAGAGTGACATCTTCCTGTGTATGGGAGTGGATCTCCCAAGCACAATGTCTGCCCAACCCTGGCCCTTTGGCCCCTTGTTATTTGGAAACCATTGAACATACCTTTCCTGCTGTCTCACTCACCCAATCCCTTTACTCACCTGACATATTGTTGTTGTGTGCCGTGGAGTCAGTTTGACTCATACCGACCCTTTACAGGGTTTCCGAGGCTGTAAATCTTTACAGGAGCAGAAAGTCTCATCTTTCTCCTGTGGAACAGCTGGTAGTTTCAAACTGCTGACCCTGAGATTCACAGCCCGATTCGTAACCACTACGCTACCAGAGCTCCTTCACCTGACATATTAGGGGACTTCAAAAAGTTTGTGGGAAAAGTCCATTGTCCTTTCATTCAAAAATTTCATGAACTTTTTGAAGCCCCCTTGCTTAGCAAAGATATTGGAGAGATCCCTGGTTGCCAGCAGCTCATGGAGGTTTGGAAAAATGAAGGGCAGAGTTGAAATTGTCAGCATTTTAAATGGAATTGTGAGTCTAGCTAGTACTCCTTACCTGTATCTTCCAATCTCATACATTCATTTCTATATTCAATGTTTACTGACACTTGGACATAGAAATACACAGACCTTGTACAAATCTTGACACTGGTAGCGTAGTGGTTACGAATCGGGCTGCGAACCTTAAGGTCAGTGGTTCGAAACTACCAGCTGCTCCACAGGAGAAAGATGAGGCTTTCTACTCCTGTAAAGATTTATACCCTCGGAAACCCTGTACAGGGTCGCTATGGGTCGGAACCGACTCGACGGCACTTAACAACAACAACAATTACATGCTTGATAAGTTGTTGGAACTAAATAAGCTGCTAAGCCAAGTTGAAGACAGATCAGAAATTCATTAGTTAGTAGATAACAATGTGCAATGAGAGCAAAGTAAAACCCAAATTTTGGAAGGAGGCAGTAGAGGAATTGGGAATTTCAGAACACTTGATTGTGCTCCTTAGGAACCTGTACGTAGACCATGAGGTAGTCATTCAAACATAACAAGGGGATACTGAATGGTTTAAAATCAGGAAAGGTGTGTACCAGAGCTGTATTCTTTCACTAATTCAATCTGTATGCTGAAAAATAATCCAAGAAACTGGATTATATGAAGAAGAACATGATGTCTGGATTAGAGGAAGACTCATTATCAACCTGAAATAATGCAGATGATGCAACCTTGCTTGCTGAAAGCGAAGAGAACTTAAAATATTTACTGATGATGATCAAAGACCATATCCTTAGGTATGGGTTGTACCTCAATGTAGAGAAAACATAAATACTCACCACTGGACCAATAAATAACACCAAGATAAATGGAGAAAAGATGAAAGTAGTCAAAGACTTCATTTTGCTTGGATCAACCATCAACACTCATGGAAACAGCAATCAAGGAATCAAACAACATATTGCATTGGGCAAATCTGCTGCACAAGACCTCTTTTACGTGTTCAAGAGCAAAGGTGTCAATTTGAGGACTAAGGTACGCCTGCCCCAAGATTTTCAATAGCTTCATGCATGTGAAAGTTAGACAATGAATAAGGAAAACCATAGAAGAATTTATACATTTGAGTTATGGTGTTGGAAGAGAATATTAAAAGTACCATGGACTGCATAAGAACAAACAAATCTGTTGGAAGAAATACAGCCAGAATGCTGTATTAAAAGCCAGGATGACCAGACTTCATTTCTCATACTTTGGGCATATTATCAGGAGGGACCAGTCCCTTCAGAAGTACATCATACTTGGTAAAGTAGAGAGTCAGCAAAAAAGAGGAAGACCCCCAATGAGATGGATTGGCACAGTGGCAGTATAACAGGCTCAAGTGTAGCAATGATTGTGAGGTTGACACAGGGCCAGGCAGTGTTTCGTTCTGTTGTGCGTAGGATCGCTATGGGTCGGTACCGACTTGACACCACCTAGCAACAACAGCAACAACATCCAAAAGTCTACAATAAACATAAATTTTTTAAAAATATTACTGCCATTTTATTTTTATACAGTTAAATTTGAATTTTTTTCAATTGTCCTTTATAATAAAATATAAGTATATATTTTAAATTTATAAGTTAGGTAAAATATCTACAGTATTATGTCAATTTTGATATGATCATTGTACAGAAACACTGTATACAATGTTTTTGGCTCACTAGTGATTTTTTTTTAATTGTTAATTGAGTGAAAGTTTACAGACAAGATCATCAGTCTTAAATGTAACAAACTATACTCCTTGTTTCATCTCAATGACTACAGTCCCCTCCCTGCAACAACAGTTATCCTATTTCCTCCCTGTGGCTTTCCTTTTACATCTCATATTTCACAAGTGAACAAAGCAAAAATGCTTGATGTACACATATAAAAAGTATATATTCATTTAAATGTCCTGCAGACACACAGCCTTACTCAGTCCATGGGCCTAGAGCCTGCTGCTTCTCTGTCTCTCTGTGCCACCAAGTCAGTCACCATCTCTGTTGTCAGTGTTTTTCTAGGTAGGCTCTCACAGTCCACTCATGCTCTTCCTTCTTGATGGTCCTGGGATCGTCTATTCCTGAAATGAAAGATTAACTACTTCTCCCCTTTTAATTACACATCTACAATTACAGTGGTGACAATCACATTTAATCCTGCTAACAACTCTTCACAATTGAATAATAAAATCCTATCAATATCATCCCCAACTCCCTTTCACTGGACCCATCTGGAAGAGGAAAATTATTCAGTGGGGATTCTACTTTACCCTCCCCATTCTGAAACTAAGCATGCTCATAAGGGCTTGTAAATCACTCACTTAAAGCCTTTATGGCTACCACCACCCTGCCCTTTTTGACAGCCAATGTTTAAATTGCCTGTCTCTCTCAACTCAATACACTGAGGAAACAAGCTTGTTCCTTGATATGAAGGATCCTTCCATTCCGGTTGGAATTTTAGGCAGGTGCATCCATAAGCAAAAGTCCAGTTTATCAAATTGTAGCAATTTACACTTATAATATCACATCTTTATCTTCTGGCTGAGTTCTAGTCAGCAAGCTATCCAAGGTAGGTCAAATGAGTACTAGCTGCATGTTTGGAGTTCACACACACCTCCCAGCACTTCATACCAGCTGGCCACGTCACTCTCAGCTCTAGCACCCATGGTCAGTGCCCATGGGCTTGGGATTTCACACATCTCCATAAACTTCAGACCAGCCAGCACTTCCTCTTCTCTGTCCTCTCAAGGTCAACAAGTATTAATAGAACATGGCCAAACTCAGCCTATGTTTTCATGGCTGCATTTCCCCCAGGTCCACTCACAAGTAGACCCAGGTGGTCACCATGAGTTCCCTTTAACTTTCTCATGGTTTCCCTTTAACTGCTCATGGGTTCCCTTTAACTTTCCGTCCAAGAAGGAGGTTTTCCCTGACGGGCTGACTTTTCTTGCCTTGGTATCTTCAAAGCAGTTTGCTTGAAATTGAAATAGCCAGTTTGCTTTTTTTTCTGCATGTCTTTTCTATCAAAAAGAATCTTCTGTGTGTCTTTTCAAGTGGGAAGATCCCAACTCAGAAGGTTCTGGGTGGCACTAAGAATTCCATCTAAGGCACTGTACTGTACAAAGGCTTAATAAGCCTATTTTCCTTGGCAAATTCTAATTTCCCTTTAAACAAATTCAATCTGTTACAGTCTGAAGATGGGCTTACAAACTTTCTATAATCATATTTCCCAATATTCACTTCTATCACACATAAATGTCTATTTTACAACAGTACTCAGGGGAACCCAATATCCAGAAGACAGTCAAACACATAAACATTTACCCCTTCCTTTACCCATTCACCCTATGTCTCGATCCATGGATCTATTCACAGAACACTGTTATTCCAAGGTTGTGTATAAATCACTATTTACCTCTATCCCATTTAGCCCATACATACCTCCCTAAGTCTTCCCTTATCTTCATTGTTCATCTGTCACCCTCCCTCTTCTTGTGTATGCCCTCCCCCTCCTTGTATAGTGCCCTCCCGGTCACCCAAGCTAATGTGTCTACCCTCTGGCCAGTGAATTACTCTTCCCTCCCTCCCACCCCTAGTAACCTTCAATGAATATTTCTTTTAGTACAGAAACTTTTTCTTAAGCTTTTACAATAATGATCTCATACAATATTTGTCCTTTTGTGATTGTCTAATTTCAGTTAGCATAATGTCCTTCAGGTTCATCCAGGTTGTGAGGTGTTTCACAGATTCGTCAAGTTATTCTTCAAGGTTGCATAGTATTCCATTGTGTGTATGTGCCAAAGTTTTCAACATAATTCTTAATGGTGGAACATTTAAAGCAATTCCTTTTAAATCAAGACAAAGTCCT